TCACCTGTACATCTTCCTTTTTTGTAATGCTTTTATTTGGATTTGGTAGCAGGATAATGGTGCTCCCTCTGTTTCTATTTTCTGAAATATATTGCAGAAAGTAGACACCATTTCTTTGTTAAATGTTTGCTAGAACTCACCAGTAAAATCATATGACCTTGATTATATTTTTAAAAGGTTATTAATTATTGATTTCCTTTTTTATATAGTTATAAATTCTAGATACATAGCTATATATTCTGATTATCTATTCCTATTTCTCCTTGTGTGGATTAAAGTTTGTGCCTTTTGAGGAATTTGTTCATTTCATCTACATAATTAAATTTGTGGGCACAACTTAGAGAGTTTCTTTACTATCCTTTTAATGTACACCTATGTCTTCTCTCTCTGTTTTTTCACTTGGTTAGCCTGGCTAGAGGTTTACTAATTTTTAAAATATTTTTGAAGAACTAGCTTTTGTTTCTTTGATTTTCTCTATTTTTTCTGTTTTCAATTTCATTGATTTCTGCTCTAAATTTTATTATTTTTTTTTCTGCTTTTTCAGGCTTAAATTGTTCTTTCTCCAGATTTACTAAGGTAGAGAATTATATAATTAATTTTATATATTTATTCTTTTCTAATAGATGCATTTAATGCTATAAGCCTCCTTCTAAATACTGATTTTGCCACATCTCTTAAATTTTGATGAGGTATATTTTCATTTTTATTCAGTTTAAAATGTTTTTTTTTAATATCATGAGACTGCTTTGTTGTTGTACATGTAGAATAGAAGTGTGTTAAGTTCCAAATATTTGGGAATCTTCCAGTTGTCTTTATGTTATTGATTTCTACTTGAATTTCAATGTAGTCTGATAATATTTTGTATTATTTTTATTATTTTTTTTACATTTTCAAAATTTAAATTCAATTTGCCAACACATAGTATAACACCCAGTGTTCATCCCATCAAGTGCCCTCCTCAGTGCTGTCACCCAGTTACCCCAACCCCCCACCCACCTCTCCTTCCACAACCCTTTGTTTGTTTCCTAGAGTTAGGAATCTCTCATGGTTTGTCTCCCTCTCTAATTTTTCCCACTCAGTTCCCCTCCTTTCCCTAATAGTTCTTTTCACTATTTCTTATAATCCATGTATGAGTGAAACCATGTGGTGATTGTCCTCCTCCAGTTGATTTATTTTTATTCTTTTAAGCTTTGTTAAGGTGTGTTTTAGGGTCAAGAGTGACCAGAATATGGTTTATCTTGGTGAATAATGTGCTATGCAAGTTCAGAAAGAATGTGTGTTGTGTTGTTGGATGGAATATTTTATAAATGTCAAATAAATTCAGTTTATTGATAGTGCTACTTAAGTAAACTCTATCTTTACCAATTTTCTGTTTGCCTAATCTATCAGTTACTGAAAAAGAGATGTTTAGCTTAAATATAATATATAATTATATATATACTAACTATAATAATATAATAGTGGATTTTTTTTGTTCTCACTCTTTGCAGTTCTCTAGGTTCTTGCCTCATGTGTTCTTAGGCCCAACACATTAATATTGTTAGTTTTAAATTTGGGAAGCATCCTGTTAGAAAATTCTATGAAATTACAAAATATTACAATTATGAAAAAAATTAATGGAAATATATAAATTGTATTATTTGGTTTACCTTAAAAAAAGGAAATAAATGACTCAACTTTAAAATTCATGTGGAAATGCAAGGGACCCAGAATACTTAAAGTTGGAGGATTCTAACTTCCTGATTCCAAAGCTTACTACAAAGATACAATAATGCAGACTGTGTGGTACTGGCATGAGAATAGACCAATAGAGTTAGAATTGAGCATCCAGAAATAAATCCTTATATTTATGGTTTAATAGTCAACAAGAGTGCTGAATAATTCACTGTAGGCAAGAATAGTCTCAACAAATGGGTATCCACATGCAAAAGAATGAAGTTGGATCCCTCTGTATATAAAAATTATTTCAAGATGGTCAGTCAATAATCCTAAAGGTAAGATATAAAGCTGTAAAACTCTCTGAAGAAAATAGGCATAAATATTTGTGATGTTGGGTAAGGCAGTGACTTCTTCTTTACCGAAAGAACAAGAGACACAAATAAATTGGACTTCATTAAAATAGAAAAAACTTCCATGTTGCAAATGATACCTCCATGAAAAGTGAAAAGCAACCCACAGAACGAGAGAAAATTTTTGCAAATCATTTATCTGATAAGACACTTGCATCTAGGATATTTTAAAAACTCTTAAAACTCAACAGCAATAAGAAATAAGAACTAAGTCAATCAAAAATGGGGCAAAAAATTAGAACTGACATTTCTTCAAAGAAGATTTATGAATGGCCAGTTACATGAAGGGATGCTTAATATAAGTGATTAGGAAAATGCAAATCAAAACCATAGTGAGCTACTACTTTATAATGTCTAAGTTATCATAAAAGAAAAAAAAAGAAAGAAAGAAAAAAAGAGACAGGAAAGGAGGGAATAGCAAGTGTGGCTGGGATGCAGAGAATTTGAAACTCTAATAACTGCTGGTGGCATTATAAAATAGTATAACAACTTTGGAACACAGTCCAGAAATTCTTCGAGAGAGTTATCACAGGACGCCTGGGTGGTTCAGGGGTTGAGCGTCTGCCTTTGGCTCAGGTCGTGATCCCAGGGTCCTGGGATCGAGTCCCACGTCTGGCTCCATGCAGGGAGCTTCTCCCTCTGCCTGTGTCTCTGTGTCTCTCTCTGTGTCTCTCATGAATAAATAAATAAAATCTTAAAAAAAAATAAGCCACCCAGCCTGTGGTGTTTTGTTATGGCCACCTATGCAGACTAGTACACATCCAGGAGAAATGAATGTCTATGTTTGCACAAAAATGTGTACATGAATATTCATAACCTCATTATTCATATCAGCCAAAAAAATGGGAACAGCTTAAATGTCTATGAGTTAATGAATGTGTAAACAAAATATGGCATATCCATACAGTTGAATATTATTTGACTATAAGAGGAATAAAATACTCTTCGCTGCTATAACATGGATGAATTGTTTGTGGATGGACATTATGCTAAGTAGAAGCAGCCAGCTACTAAAAGCCAAGCAGTGCATAATCCCACTTTTTTGAAATGCCCAGAATAGGCAAAACTCATAGGGATAGGGATAGAAAGTAAATTAGTGGTTTCCCAGGGATGAAGGGAGAGGGGAGTAGGGAGTGACTGCTAATTGGTATGGGATTTCTTTTTGAGGTTATGAAAATATTGTAAAATTATTAGTGGTAATAGTTGCACAGTTATGTGAATAAACTAAAAACACTGAATTGTCTACTTTTAAAGGGTGAATTTTATGGTATGTAAACTGTATTTCAATCAAGTTGTTACAAAACAAAACAAAAAAAGTTAGAAAAGTTTATTTCCATCACTGGGTTGTGTCTCTCTGAGGACAGGAAAGGATTATTGCTAAAATGGATTATTCCAAAGGCTAGTACTGTATACCAGGATAGAATTTTTATATTCCTTATTCTTTTTAATACACATATCTTTCGATTGTAAATGTGTGAGAATATTCAAAAGAGATTTATCTATCTTGAATATAAAATTTTTTCAGCAAAGCAATGATAATTATACTTGTGTTATAACATGACTTATTGCCATCTAATATTCAGTTTGGTTGATTTGCATCAAGGGGGGTTTTGTAAAGAAAAGGAATGTGGATGTGATTTCAGTCTGTGTTATTGTGGAGTTTAGAAGTCCCTAATTTTTTTTTTTAAGAGAAGGAATGGGGGAGAGAGAGGAACTTTAGTAGACTCCACACCCAGTACAGAGCCTGATGTGGGGCTGGATCTCACAACCCTGAGATCATGACCTGAGCCGAAATCAAGAGTCAGACACTTTACTGATTGAGCCACACAGGTGTCCCATAGGGGTCCCTAAATTTGAACGCAGTGGTTCCCAGAACTCTCTCTGTATTAACTTCCTGGGGAGCTTTGCAGAATATTTGGGGGTGCCTACACCCCACCCCAAAATCTGAGTCAATTAGTTGAGAACCACTGCTTGAGCAGAGGTAGGGGTCTTTAGAACTACACGGGGTTGTGATTACTGGGAGCCCACAGAGAATCTGTTGTAAATTGTGGCTTTCCAACTTTAGTGTGTATAACTCACGGGGATGAAATGCACATTCTATTTCAATAGGCCTGAGACTGAGATCCTACCTTCTAAGAAGATTGCCAGTGATGCCTAGGGAATGATCCCCAAATCAGATTTTCAGTGATTAAGGTTGTACATTTGAAAATGTGCAGGAGTGAAAGCATGGTTAGTAAGAAGAACACGAAATAAACGAGTTACATTATTTGATGAGAGGATTGATGAGGAGAAGGAAGCAGATAATTTCTTAAGACCTTGACTTTCATCTTGGTGAGGCTCTTCCATTGATTTATCATTGAATGGTTGGCCCAACCACGTTAGGTTGACCTCACATTTTTCTAGAAGTTTTTTCATTTTCATCAGAAGGACATATAAAATATAGATTGTTTTGGAGTGTGCATAATTTCTTTAGATATTGTCCTGACTGTCAATAGGGTGACAAGGGTGTTAAAAATCCAGTGAGGAAATATGAACAAATGTATTTTCTTTATTTAAATCAACAATATTGACATTTTTGTTCTAAGCGTGATGTTGGGTTCTAGAACTATAGAAATTAATAAGGCATAGGCCCTGCTCTTAAAAAACTAACCGTCTGTGAAGGATGGGAGGCATGTAGGACAGATCTGTGAACAGCTAACTATAACACAAGAAGAAAATGAACCACGTGTTCAGTAGAAGAACACACAACGTGCTATGGAAGAGGCAGTTAATTTCACCTGGGGAAACGCTTCATCGATGACCTGGTATTTAGAATTTTGAAATGCCTCCTTCAAAATGTTCATGTTTATTTTCTAGTTTCTCAACTGTTCACTGACAGGAGACTCACGGCATTGATCTCATCTGGGAATAACACACATCACGGACCAATTTTTAGGAACCTCCCAGAATTTTCTTCAAGGCAGCCTTCATTTCTTTATTCCGGAGGCTGTAGATCATGGGGTTGAAAAAAGGGGTCAAAACTGAGTAGAATAGAGTCGTGAACTTCTGCATTCCCTCTGCTTGTCCTGACCCTGGGCTCACATATGTCATCATGACGGAACCATAGAATAGAAACACGACAGCCAGATGCGAGCAGCAGGTAGAAAAGGCCTTCTTCCGGCCGGCTCTGGAGGGCACCTGCACTACAGCCCGCACCACCAGGCTGTAGGAGCCAATTATGTACAGGAAGGTGGCAAAGATGAGGAGGGAACTCATGGTGCCACAGATGAGAACAGTCCCTGGGATTGGGACACAGGCTGAAGCCAAGGTCAGCAGAGGACCCAGGTCACACAGAAAGTCATCAATTGCATTCGGGCCGCAAAACGGTAGCTGGGTCACGAGTATCACGGGGATCAGAAACCAGAGAAAACCATAGACCCAGCAAAAGATGACCAGACGGATGCAGAACTTAATAGTCATGACAGTGGGATAGTGCAGGGGGCGGCAGATGGCAAGGAAGCGGTCATAGGCCATGATGGACAGAAACAAGCATTCGGTTGTGCCCAGGGAGAAGAAGAAGTACAACTGGAGCAGGCACCGAGCGAAGGAAATGGTTTTGGTCTGGGAGAGGAGATTGGCCAGCATGTTGGGCACATCGGAGTTGACGTAGCAGATCTCTAGGAAGGAGAAGTTGGCCAGCAGGACATACATCGGGGTGTGAAGTCGGCGGTCCCCGTGCACCGCACACACGATGGCCGTGTTTCCAAGGAGCGTCAGCGTGTAGGTCACAAAGAATATAGAGAAGAGGAGGAACTGGACTTCCCGGCGGCAAGGGAAGCCCAGGAGGACGAAGTCCTGCCCACTGCGGGAAGCGTTTCTGGCCTCTGAGGTCATTGCCCTCGAGCCCGCGAGGCTCGCAGCAGAGGCTACACGTGCCAGCTGCTCCCCAGGAGACCACACACTGTCCTGATCATCGGGGGAGGGGCCTGGACCCAGGGGCCCCCATTCCTAGGCTTCCCCTGGCTGGGGCTCCCCGGGGTGCCAGGGCATGAGCTTGGACATATTACAGTTCTGGCTTTGCTTCTGCCCCAGGAGAGGACTTCCGCTCTGAGACCAGGTTCCTTTCTCTGTAAAATATGGATAATCACACTTCCACAGCAAGGGGGACATAAAAATTGCATAAAATCATGTACCCAAGCACAGTTTAAAAATCATAGAATGCTGCAGAAACATAAGCTGCTGTAAAGCATCCAGGACTGGTTATGCTAGATGCCATACCCCTCTGTTAGCTTTATAAATTACACTGATCGCAAAGTGCGAAAGAATATTTTTCCTTGCGGAATTTTAGCCATGTGACGGGCTAAGTCCGGGTCGTATGTGTGTGTTCGTGTGTGAGCACACGTACACGCGTATAAGGAAGAGGTGCTTCTCAGTCCTCTCAGGCCACACTGAAAGCAGCTCCCTTGCAGGCTTCTTTTTAAGACTTTTTTCCCTATCAAACACACCAGAGCTCCACTTTTTTTCTTAATGGACTGTGTTCTTTGGTGAGGTCACCGTTGCAGCCTTAAGTGACAGGGTCATTTTCCTAATGGTTACACTGTGCTTTGTATTAAGGCCACACCTACTTTTGAACCTGTGAAACCTCCCCCATGGTCCCTACCCATGGCTGGCTCTTCTGTGGGATTTCCTGAGGAATGAGGATCAGTCTGTACGCAAGCGATCGTAACAGGGAAGCACCAACAAATACCACTTCAAAGTAGGCAGACTTCTGGAAACCCGCGCCCTTTCTCCCTCTGGTATTCCTGGATTTTGTGCTTTATTCAGCCCTGGAGAAAGCCTGACTCTTTTTTTTTTTGGATACAGGGGAAAAGATGGAGGCTTATCTAAATTTTAGGCCTTAACCTAGGCCAAGCTGAACCCAGAAGATTTTTGGAATATGGGTGTATCATCCTTGTTTCGCCTTTTTTCTCCTTTCCCACTCAAATGCTCTATTCACCTTTTCTTAACAACACCAGTTCTCTGGGGGAAAATCCAGTAAACTCCTGCATGAACCAAACCCCCAACATCTGTGAAGACTTTAGTAATTTTCGCTTTTTCCGTGTTCTGTACGCAAGGGCACGTGAACAGGTGGCTCACACGTCAAGTGTGTAGACCCAGGATGAGTCGCAGGCACACAGGCCCCTTTTATTTTGCTCACTGTAACCCCAGGGGCATACAGACACCTAGAACACTACATTCTAAGGAGGCACCTCAACCTTTAAGCTGTGAGGTTTTGGGTTTTTTTTTGTTGTTGTTGTTGTTGTTTTGTTTTATGCCATGTGATTGGGGAAGTGCTGACCGCTCTCCTGATGTGTGTAGGCCCGAGGTAGGACATCAATGTGAGGAACACTTGGTTCAGTCCTATTTCTGGACTCAGAGTTTGGGGCTGGGGAGGAGGGGTGCCGGCTCCCCTTCTGGTGTGATTGGGAGCGGTAGTTCGGACTTTGCAGTTGAAGCTCCAGGATAGGACAAGCCAACCGCAGGTGAAGCTTCACCTCACTGAGCTTCACCTCAACCAGGTGAGGGAGAAAGTCATTAAGCAGCAGGCAGTGGATGGCTTCATTTCCAAGGAGCTTCACAGGAGGCGCCTTACCCCTGGGGAGGGTACCTCGAAAGGGATTTGCTTGAATAAGTTAACCCTTGTGTCTAACATGCAGCTTCCTGGGGAGGCTTTCTTCAGTACCCGATCGGGGCCCCCTGGGGCAGGGATCCTTGCCTCCATTCCATATATGAAGAAATAAGGACTCAAGGAGATTAAATGCCTGAGATCTCAAACCAGGAGGCGACACAGTCAGGATGTGGGGCATACCTTTTGGCTCCTATTTTACTGTCACTATTTTGACAGACCTTCAAGGTAGATATATCCAGAACGTCCCTCATCCCAGGGAAAAAAGTGCATCAAATTAATAAAATAACTGTCACAGACTTCACCGCGTCATCTGAGGGGAGAGAGGTGGTGTCTCCCAAGCTCCCCTCAAATTATACCACTTAGGTGCAATTGTGTTTTGTGACTTTTATTTTTCATTTCTAGGTGGCTCTCTCTCTCTCTCCTCTTTTCTAATAAGTTAAAAGGCATACAAATACCAAATACCGTACTAAGAACGCTAGTTATTTTACTCTTACCTGACTTTTTTGATATACAATGTTCAGCTCCTGTAAGGAGATAGGTTTGTACATTTATACAAAATTAAGATAGATAAAGAAGTTATGAGAGTAAATGTTTTAAAAAAGAGAAGGTACTGAGCTACGATAGTGAAGAGACATGTAAGGGGGCTACAGGCATGCTTCTTTGCAGTTTGGCGTGTTATAATTCTATTTGTGACAGCCTTTGATTTATTAACAGCCTTTTATTATTTAAATCTTTTTCACCAAGTTGGATAATGTTATTCCCCTTTGACCTTGCCTGCTGAGTGTCTGTACTCAGCTGTCCTCGTAGCACGAGGGACGACTGGGTCCATGTGCCATGTGCTAGGAATTCACCTAAGTGAGTAGCTGCATTCTATTTTTTTGGGCTAATGTGTGGCTCATATTCACTGGCCTCAGAGATATCCGGGGTCAGCATGGGAGCTCCAAAGCCGCACTTGCTTACTGATCTGACCTGCTGAATCCTGGAGCTGGAGACCTCAGAAGCTCCTGAGTGGCCTCCTGCTGGCCTCCAGCACCCGTCCATCCTGCTGCCTGCTGGCTGGCCACCTGACTTGCAGACTCTGACCAAGAGCTCGATGGACGGCAGAGCAGCTTTCATTTTTGAAGGCTGCCATGAACTTCCTTTTCTCTTACGTTCTGAGTCACATTCCCACCTTGATTTACCCTCCCGGGCTTGTCTACTTCTGCCTCGGGTAGGGAGGCCAACACTTCCTACGTGCCCATCACATGCCCCAGTCATCAGGACCTGGACCCTGCGCTGCCCTCCCTGATCTTTACCAACCACAGAAGTAACAACTGAGCCACAGGAAGGCAGCAAGCGCCCGTCCTGGGCAGATCTGTATTCCTTCCTTACATTATACCAATGCTCAGCATGAATCCCACAGCAGCACTCAAAAATACTTGAGGCAGAGACTCACGTCCTCTTTGAATCTTCTCAATGTGTCCTAACCACTCCTGGTTCCTTGAACCAATGTGACGGGATTCCCAGCGTGCTCACCATCCTGCTTGTCTTTTGATCGTTCATACCTTTCAGAAGATGTGATCTTGGGACACCTGGTGGCTCAGCACTGGAGCGTCTACCTTCAGCCCAAGGCATGATCCCGGGGTCTTGGGATCGAGTCCCACATCTCCCTCTGCCTGGGTCTCTGCCTCTCTCTCTGTGTCTCTCATGAATAAATAAATAAAAATATTTTTTTGAAAAAAGATGTGATCTTACTAAAACTGAGCACAGTACCCTTCATGTTAGGTGATTGACATGGGGCACAGTGGCCATAATCGCTTTTGCTCCAGAAGCTCATGCAGACTTAAGTTGACATTAGCTTTTTTGGGCAGTGACTTTATATTTTTGACTTTTATTGAATTTCATTTTACCAAAGTCCTTAGAGTTTGTTCACAAGACCTTCTTTTAAGCAAGATTGGCCCCATCTGACACTGTGCTAGGAATTCACCTAAGTGAGTTTTCAAAATGAGGGAGGTTAATTATTGAATTTTACCAAGTATTTCAGTCAATTAAAATCTTATGACTATCAATACTAGCTTTTTTTAATTTTTATTGCCTATAAATTGGATAGAATTTCTCATGTTTCACCTATGTCTGATTAAAATATTAGGTAGAACATGAGAAAATGCTTTTTCCTGTCACTTAAAACTTTTTCTAGGTTAGCATCTATTATTATCAACAACTGTTGATAATAGCAGTATTAACTTTTTGACTGCTATCATGTGTTTAGGTCACTTTCTATTAACTGTCATTTTGCTACCATTTATTGCACATTTATGTGCTGGTACAATCCTTTCAAGCTTATTTTCTAATGTTCATTTGGTTTTATAGCTAATTGCTGACCTGAATGATTTCAAAAATACAACACAATTTTACTAAGTGCCTACTGAATTCTTGTATAATTTTCAATGCATAGGATGTTTTGGGATATGTATTTAAATTCCTGCATGGTGAAATGTCTTAAAAATTGGAAATATTCTTTTCAATAAAATTAAGGGGCATTTAATGAAGTGGACATGAATGTAATAAAGAAGTGTAATAAAGTGTAAAGTGTAATAAAGAAGTGGATATGAGTGTAAATTGTGGAAGTTAGTTTCCCACATTTCTAGATGAAGGTTGGTAATTTAAAGTTGAAAAAGATAATTTTTCTTTCGTTTTTTATTTTTTATTATTTTATTATTTTTTATTTTTTTCTTTCACTTTTTAAATTAGCATAGGTAAATATTCATGATAGCAGTGCTGGTGAAGGTACAATGAAATGGCACTCAGAAGAACTGCTGGAGGGAAAATAAACTTGTAATATATATTTTTTTCTGGCAAGCAATTTGGGGATACCTAGAGCTTTTAAAACTTCTATATCCATTAAACAAAAATCAGAGTTGCAGAAAAAATTAATACGTTGATCATAGCAGTGCAGAAGAATTTCTGGGGATCATTAAAATACGGATTCTCAGAAGGAATGGATGGGTCTTGAGATCCTAAGATTTTAATAACAGAGAATCTGAATCGCTGTGTTATAGACCCCACACTAATGTAACACCATATAGCTAATGTAACACAAGGTAACTAATGTTGGCTGTACACAAAGGAAAAAATTTTAACAAAAGCAATAAGGTAATGCTGATTCTTTGAGTAGTAAAGATTTACAGAGTTCTTCATATTTTTTAGAGTTGTGTAGCAAGGGTTTATGTAGTTCTTTACATACATT